AGCGACATTGGTGCTGGACCGAGTACCCAGGCAGACACAGCTGGGAAAGGTGGACACCACCCTCCTCTCCTACCCAGGTCTCAGTAACGCACACCAGGTCAGCACCCTCATCCAGAATTGCATCATGGATGAGGGCAGTCTTAGTTTGTACTGACCTGGCGTTCATATATAATGCAGGAAAATGTTAACAGGAAAACAGGCAGAGTAAAAAAGCAAGTGTGGCTGAGGCGGCAATAAGACATGATTTTCAGAAAGACCAGGAAAACCTGCTGAAATTTAAATAGACAAGTGGGAAAAGAACAAAGCCTGGGTGTGATGTTTTATAAGATGCCAAAGTGCTGTAAACAGCTGAAGCTTCCAGATCCAGTTGCAGACATAGTGAAAATGGAGGCAGGGGTGAGACATACGTATAATTAAAATAAGGACAGCAGCTGATACAGCACTCTCAAAGTGCATTGCCATTCTATTGTGCATAAACAGACTACAAAGGTTTGAAAGCTAGACCATTTCTAGATTATATGATTGCTACATCTACATCTATGTTACCTCACCATGTCCTCCTCCAGCAAACCCTCTAGGATGGGAGGTGTATGCTGTGCTTAAATAATGTCTTGGGATTTTGGTCCAGTCCAAATTCTCTGGCTCAACCAGATGTGAGGACACTTACACACAGCACATTTACACAACAATAATTGTGTCAATGGTCTCTGTCTCTTTGTACATGTTGGAATAAATATCACGCACTGAGCCTCTAATCCAGACTCTACTAAGGAAAGAAGGCAGGCTTTTAAACATTTGTTGAGCTGCAATTTGGACCAGGGGTTCCGTGCCTCTAAAGGGAAAAACACCACCCGCACCAAAGAAGGTTTTCCTCACAGCACAAGGAACAAGTGAGGGTTGACAGATCCAGACTAAGATCTCACTGGGTAGCATGGAATAAAGAATTCTCATTCAGATTAGCATCCTCCCAACTACTGTTTTCTTCTAAAAACAAAAGAAAAAAAATCAAGAGATGGAGATGAAATTTCCTCAGGTCTAAAGGAGAGCCAAGCCCCAAGAGGAAATGACAGCAATATGCTGTAGACAACCCCCATCAAAATTACATCAGACATGAATGCCCCTGGCCAAAGAGTCATTTCCTTTAGAGAGAGGCCAGATAAACTTAATCATGTTTTGTTGTTATGCTAAACGGATTGTCTTAAGGTCTGAGAAAGCAAGACCATCCTAGAATGGTTGGCCTATCTTCTTCCTGTATAGTAAATGGCCTATTCTATGCTAATTCTCTCTGGATTAGCCAGGTGGGAAAACAATGGACATGGCAAGGCAAAACACAAGATCACTAGGTCTGTTTGGCCAAAACCCTATAAAAGAGGTACAGCAACCAAATTAGTTGTTCAGGCTCATTTCAAGTTCAGATTCAGGATCCAGTTCTTGCTGCTTAAGCCCCTCCAGCTGAGCTGGACTCCCAGTGCTCCCCAATTCCAAAACAGTCTAAGGAGAGGTCATCTTTGTCACAAGTAATTTGTCTTCTGGAAGTATATTCCCTCCACGTTGGTGGCTCCCCAGCGTGTGTGTGTGTCTGTGTGTGTGTCTGTGTCTGATTTAAGGAAAGTTCTTTCCTTTGAACCATCTTGGCTATGCACATTTGCTTCTTTTGAGCCTATTATTTCCCCATATTAGTTATATAGTTAGTTGTAAATCTGCTTTATTTTAATTCTTCTGTGTTCAATAAAATTCACCCTATGAATAGCTCTGTGTGAGTGTGATATACACAGTCCAAACTCTGCCAAAACCTGCTACTGCCATAGATCAAAGATCTCTTATGGGTGTATCTCTGAACATGTATGAGTGTGCACACGTGCTCTGACAGCATAGCTGGTAACACTTGTCCTGTATTCATTTCCCATCACCCAGCTATTTAAGAGCAGAATTTAGGGAGTAAGCTGTGCAAGAGAGGTGACTGTCTTCATGTTGTTACTCTTGAAAATAACATGTACACTGACTGTACTATAAAAGTATAAACAGTAAAAGCAACCACATCATCCTAGAATTGTAGTGGTAGCTTTCATAAGCAACATAATGAGTCTAAGGAAACTTTCTGGAGTCCCAGATGATACTTCTTATTCTTGCAAGGGCTTGATCCATGGGTCCAATATTTCACTGCCAAAAGAGAGAAGCCTAAATTTTTACCTGTGGCTAGCATTGTAACAACAGAGGGTATCCATTACCCACCAATTCTTGCAAGGGGAGTGAGGACAAGAAGAAAACTCAGATACAGCCAAGAATCCTTCTTGTTTTTGTAGTCTGCAGCCTAATTTTTCCCCTGAATGAGGGAGATGGTTTAAATGCCTGGACAGCCCTGCTTCACTTGCCAAGCACAGGAACTGACTTCAATCAAAATAAAGCCAATATTTCCACAGCTGAGGTGGATGTTTAAAATTAGACTGTAAGTAGAAGTTGTTATTGTCATATTTTAAGGGACATTTTCAAATCATCTATCTCAGAACAAAATTTGCAGCAGCTAGCAGCTCATTTACGGCAAAGAAGTAAAATCATAAATGCTCTTTATCAGAAAGATTTCAACAAATGGATAGTTTTTGTCTCCTGTTATCTGAGCTTGAAACTACAGCTATCGTGTCTGCATGTGTGTATGTCTGCATATATTCTATACCACAAGCTGACAAGAACAGCATAAAATCCATCTGCCTGTATTTATTTTAAAAACCCACATAATTGTTTAAATAAAAACACAACATTATGTAGATTTCACTTGAATCCAAAATTAAACCAGCTGAATGAAAAGCAATAGCAGTATGTTTACAGCAGTATGCCCAGCCAGCTCCCTTAACGCATGTCTGCAGCTTAATGCAGTTTCCCATCCATAGAAAGCATATGTTATTCTTTATGTTGTTCTGATTGAAAAAACCTGACCCATCAAAACAAAGAGTTCACTGCCCCGAAAGCCAGGTTTCCTTACTCCAACTCTGTCCAAATTCTGTGGCTGAACATAATTAGCAGTGTAACAGAGAAGCATCTTACAGTTCAAAGCAAAGTATGCTGCCTCCTTACTGAAAGAAAGGATCAGCTTTTTACTTACTTTAAAAAAGCTCCCTCTCTCACCGAGACACTGGGCTTCCATTTTTGAAGCTGACATTTTCTCTGGGAAAGCTGCACTGAGCTCCTCCTAGAAGCGGAGACATTTTTAATGGTTAGTCCAGTCTGTAGGAAATTCCTTTCAAAGCCACAGGAACAGTCACAACAACAGTTTTGCCAAGATCTTTTCCCCGTCAACAACACAGTGCCATTTATTTCCTACCAGAGGCTTTAACATATTCTTTTGGCCTATCATTGTGAGCTGCCCTTCAAAGAAAACTACTGGCATTTCCCCCTCCTCACTAAGGATCCCACAAGTTGCTTTGGGTGGATTTTAAAAGGCTCATTAAAGAAGAATGCAAAAGCATAATGCCTGCTTTGTTTACTTGACCTCAACCTGAAGTGCACATTGAGCAAATACTAGAGGGTCACTGCAATCCTAAGATTATACTGTAGCTCTAATGTGCTAGCAAAGAGGTCTGCAGCAGGATCTTTTTTTAAAGAGATTGCTTGCATGAACAGGCTAGCAAAGAGGTCTGCAGCAGGATCTTTCTTTCTTTCTTTTTTAGATTGCTTGCATGAACAACATACAACAGCAACAACTTACTGACTGATAAAACCCACTAATAACTTTCAGTGACAGAACTGAGCATAAAATCTTTAAAGATGAATGCCTCTGAACACATACAGAGTGTTTGTATCAGTTACTGCCAAGAAATCTGGGGTTACAATAGTTATGACTAGAAGCTTTCACTCCTGCTCTCAGATTAAAGAACTACAGAGCTCTGTGTCTTAGTAGCCCAGTTTCTCTACCTCTGGTGCTATTCTCCTACACCCAAAAGTAAGTGTCATAGATACAGCTGAGTTTAACTTCCCAGTGACTTACATAAAATAATAACTACAGGAGGCTATCAATTTGATTGTATAAGCAAGTGAAAACCAGGACCGGAGCTTTTCCTTGTGGTTAATTTCCTACCCTTCTCCATCAAGGAATGCCAGAGGACAGGCATAAGTACCTGGACCTTTTCTTACTGGATAGAAACAGAAACAGCAGGAAAGGAAAAATATTAAACTCCTCCCTTACAATCCTCCTCCTGCTGCTGCTGTCTGTAAAAACAATCCAAAACAAAACAAAACCAAACTCTTCAGAAGATGACCCAGCATGTAACATAGTTTGTGCCTCAAAATTCACCCAACTAGGATACAACCTGGGGCTGCAGGTAGAAAATTCATGTTAAATAATATGCCTATTTAAATAACTGCCTTCATTCCAGTATTCTGCTTTAAACCTTTTATCACTTGTCTTACAGATAAAGATGAATTTGTTTGGTTGTAGGTTTTTCCGGCTGTTTGGCCATGTTCTTTGTGGGATAGTTGAGTATCTGCAGTATCACAAACTGCACCAGAGCACAAACAGAGTTCTGACTCCTGTCCTCTAAAGATGCTAGCCACAGAGACTGGCAAAACGTTTGGAAGAAAAACCTTAAGAACATGGCCAAAGAGCCCAAAAAAACCCACAACAACCATTAGATCCTGGACATGAAAGCCTTCAAGAATACATGAGTTTGTTTACCAGTGCAACTAGTGCTGGGTGGTTTGGTGCCCCACCTCCTCCAACAGGCGCCCCCTCAGAAGCAGCACCCAGAGGAGGCAGGGCAGGTGTAGCAACCCCAGACTTCTGAGTGGGTGCCCACATGAGCGGGCATGGTGCCAAACCACTGAAAACCTATTGCGACAGCAAACGTACCGGCATTTCATGCCCATCTCTACTTACAGACATTAACTGCACTAGCTAAACAATCTTCTTTCAAATAGAAGGTTCATTTCTGATTCACTCATGAAAATATAATTCCCTGTTCCTCAATGCTTTTTCTAATATTCTTATTCACAATCACACTTCATCTCTTTTAGACACACCATTTGCATCTAAGTAACTTTCATGGACCTAGTAATTGACAAAATACAATAAATTTAGTACTCTGAGGCCAATTGTTTTACTTTAAATATTCTTGGAGTTGTCCTGTACTTGGCAGTTAAATTTGAACAATAGGCATGATGATACATTCTTCAGAATGCATATGAAGGAGGTGCAGGTTGTGTTGTACAGAATGGTTGTAGTGTGAAGGGAATTAGCCTAGCTGTAACTGGTACTATTTCCTGCATTTTCCCATCAGGTTCAGATCTGAAGGGAAACTCCTAGATCTGGCATTGCTTCTAAAAAAGATTACAGTTGCTGTCAAGAATCCCTTTTTCATCTACGGCTAATTAAGACACCTTTTCAAGATGCATCAGACCTTGCCATAAAGACTCATGCTTCTCAACTTCCATGTTTCCTTTCCTTTCCTCCCTTTGAAGCTTATGAAAAACTCTTGAACAACAAAAACAAAACAACCCCTTCCCCAAATATTTAAATAGCATAAGGTGATTCAATTATCTTGGAGAACTGAGCAGCAAAAAAATAAAAAAAATAGCAGCTACTGAATAGAAATAATAGTTGCTAAACTTGCTGCTGTTCAGTCCTCCAACATAATTGAACTACCTTATGTTATTTAGATATTTTGGTTTTTGCTGCTCAAGGCGTTTTCATGAGCTTCTAAGGGAGGAAAGGAAAGGACTTGGGGGCTCACCAACAACAACAAATGTAGCAACTACACAGAGAAGTAACGTGGTTTAGGTATCTGGCTAGGGGGCCAAAAGTTCAGAGTTAGATTCCCCATTGTGCCTCCTGCAAATAAAACCAGCCTGTGTGAATTTGGGAAAGCTAAACAGTCCCAGGGCACCCCAGAACAAGGGAATAGTAAACTACTTCTCAGTACTCTGTACTTAGAAAACCCTGAAAAGGGTCGCCATAAGTCAGAATTAACTTGATGACACATAATGATAATTATAGAGAAATAAGGCCTTTTATCTTGTGATAGTGTGGGAACAAGGTCTTCCGGGAATGCTATTTCCAATATATCAAATAAAGATTTAGTAAAATGCTCTCTTGCAGTTGGATACAAAGGGCAAGAACACAGCATATGTGAAAAAGTATCTAGCCTAGTGCTGCCACATGAACACTTTTTTTTGGAATAAGATTGTCCTTACAATCTTCCTTGCAACCTTATACACAATCTTGATTATCTTTTGCCCATATTCCTTATTAATTTTAGGATAAACCCAGGACTTCAAGCTTGCTATCTACTCATTTCTGCCAGGAATCTTCCTGTAGTTGGGCAAGAAAAGAGGCCTTCTCAACCTCTGGGCATTCCTTCAGTCAGTCTAGTAGGCTGTGAGCATAGTTTACCTAAAGAACAGAAGAGTCTAATTCATCAATAACACTCAGGACTGGATCTCTAACTTTTTAAAAAATATCAGTACAATTATGGCACATTTCCATATATCCAGGATAGACCCTGTATCACTGACCCAGATGAATGCTGGGCTAAGACTGATGACCACCACCAAGATTTAATTTCTGCAATATGCTTAATACAAGGTTGCCCTTCCAGGTGATTCAGAAATATCAACTGCTTCATGTCTGCATGCTTTCCAAGCACAAAAAAGTAAATATTTTAAATTCTCCCCCACATCAAAAGTTCCTTGGATGTAGCAAGTCAACAAATCAAAGAAAGGGCCATTTTATTGTTCCCTCCATAATGCGTTAATTTACATAATGAGACAGACATTCAGTATGTTCACAGGGGAAACACAGTTCCAAAACAGCAGTGAGGTACAATCATCCATGGACAGAGGCAAGAGAAACTAGCAACATAATGCTATACATTTTCCCCCTTCCCTCCTCCTCTAATGCAAATTACAGAAGGGTCTGGTGGGACTTTGCCATACCATGTATTTGCCCTTGAAGGTCAGAGAGGTGCAGTGTAGTGTTAGTGAGACAGGCAATCAATGGTGCAGACAGTGTTCCACATCACATCAGGGGAACATCCACCCGTAAAAACTATGGGTGGAGATCAAACTGTTTCTAACACTGAAACGCTACCTTCAAATGCTTTCAGCCACTTCTACTGCACACCCTTTGGCAAACAGAGGAATCTTCCACTCTGAAGTTAAAGGGGGGCATTCAGAAATCCAAACAGCATGCGTATCTCTGCAAACATCTGAGTGCTTCAGGAGAATGAAAAGACCCCTAGGATGTCAATAATAACCAACACAGAGGCAGAAACTCAAGCATGGGACAAATCTTTGACCATTCTTCTGTCGTCATGCAAAGATACCAGTACGATGCTCATACTTGTATTTTACTTGCAACTTTTCTGTTTAGCCAAACTTACGTTTCAGCATCAGTCCCTCTAAAGCTGATACAACATGATAGATAAGATCATGAGTTTACAGCTGTCAAATCTCTTGTCAATCACAAACTCTCCTTCTCTGAAATTCAGAGGTAAGAATACTAGCTCAGCTTACAAATAAACTGTGAAAATTACTGAGAGAATGTAAATGAGTAATTTAAGAGAGATAAAATTATTTTTATTTATTGCCAAACAAGGTTTAACGAGTCAGTTCTACCCCTATTACTATATATTTTTAAAATACTTCACAGGTGTAGTTTTTACTGATTCAATTGCTCTGCTCTGTCAAAAGACTGCTTTTTTATCCAGCCTATAAAACCCTGGGTCATTTAAAATAGTGTACTTTTATGATGACACAGGCAAATTTAACTTCTTTTGAAATCAGTTCCTGCACAGTGGTTGGCTGAGAGCCTAGCTCAAGCAGCCCTCTGGTATAGCTACACACACAGGATTGCATTGACATCCAGGAGCCAGTATTACATTGCCAGTACTCAACAGACCTCTTAATTCAAAAGTTGCATTGTGTTAGTCCAGCTGTAACTGTAAACAAAGTATGGGATCCGTGGGGGTGGGGAGAAGTCCCCCACTTCCGTAAACAGTCAGAAAGAGATTTTGTTCATTCTTACAGAGTGAAACAGAACAGTACGTACAGACTTGCTAGAGGCAAAGCACAGCACAAAGAAAGACAACACGAACTCACAGCATACGTACACAGCTTTATGGATACTGCTTGGATTCCCCACAAACAGATTTGAGAAAATAACTCCAACACAGAGAAGTATGACAGATGTACACCTGA